TCTCTCTCTCTCTCTCTCTCTCTCTCTCTCTATCTATCTATCTATCTATCTATCTATCTATCTATCTATCTATCTATCTATCTACCTCCCCGAAGCCCGTTTTTTTCGGAGAAGACAGACCCCCTCGGTGCTGCAGGGGAGGAAGGGGCGAGCCGGGCACCATGGGGGTCCGTACCACCCCCTCAATGCCCGCAGCGCCAAGGGGGTTCGGTGTTCCGGGAACGCTGGACCCCCTTGGCGCTGCGGGGGAGGAAGGTGGTCCGTCCCACCCCCTCGATGCCGCAGTACTAAGGGGGTCCGACGCTCCTGGAACGCCGGACCCCTTTGGTGCTGCGGGGGATGAAGCGGGTCCGTCCCACCCCCTCGTTCTCGGAACGCTGGACCCCCCCTGGTCCTGCGGGGGAGGGAGGGGGTCCGTCCCACCCCCTCGATGCCCGCAGCACCAAGGGGGTCCGTCCCACCCCCTCGATGCCCGCACCGCCGGGAACGCCGGACCCCCTGGGTGCTGCGGGGGAGGAGGGGGTCCGTCCCACCCCCTCGATGCCCGCACCGCCAAGGGAACGCCGGACCCCTTTGGTGCTACGGGGGATGAAGCGGGTCCGTCCCGCCCCCTCGATGCCCGCAGCAGCAAGGAGGTCCGGCGTTCCCGGAACGCCGGACCCCTTTGGTGCTGCGGGGGGATGAAGCGGGTCCATCCCCCGCAGGACCAGGGGCATCGAGGGGGTGGGACGGACCCCCTCCTGCGGGATGAAGCGGGTTCGTCCCACCCCCCTGGTCCTGCAACACCTCCCTCGATGCCCCTGGTCCTGCGGGGGATGGAGGGGGGGGAAGAAGCGGGTACGTCCCACCCCCCTGGTCCTGTGGGGGAGGGAGGGGGTTCGTCCCGCCCCCTCGGATGCCCGCAGCACCAAGGGGGTCTGGCGTTCCCGGAACGCCGGACCCCCTAGGTGCTGCTGGGGAGGAGGGGGTCCGTCCCACCCCCTCGGTGGCCACAGCACCTTGGTGCTGCGGGGGAGGAAAGTGGTCCGTCCCGCACCCTCTCTGCCCACATCACAAAGGGGGTTCGGCGTTCCCGGAACGCCGGGCCCCCTTCTTGCTGCGGGGGAGGAGGGGGTCCGCCCCGCCCCCTCGCTGGCCACGGCACCTTCGTGCTGCGGGGGAGGAAGGGGGTCCGTCCCGCCCCCTCGATGGCCACAGCACCTTGATGTTGTAAGGGAGGAATGGGGTCCGTCTCGCCCCCTCGATGGCCACAGCACCAAGGGGTTCCGGCGTTCCCGGAACGCTGGACCCCCTTCGTGTTGCGGGGGAGGAAGGGGGTCCGTCCCACCCCCCTCGATGGCCACAGCACCAAGGGGTTCCGGCGTTCCTGTCCCAATTCGTCGCTGGCCTTGAACAACGAGAGGGGCCGGTGTTCCCGGAATGCCGGACCCCCCTTCGTGATGCGGAGAGGGAGGGGTTCTGTCCTGCCACCTCTCTCTCTCTCTCTCTCTCTCTCTCTCTCTCTCTCTCTCTCTCTCT